TCTGACATCAGAAGTCTTCCTGCTACACACATCTGCAAGTGATTACAACGGTTCCATGCATGGCGCCTGTATGAACTCAGTCTTCATAATGACCCTACTACCTAAGCACTGCGCTTGTTCTCCTGGTGGTGCAGCGCAAGCAACTCCCCCCCCCCCAGGCCTCTGCCCTTCCCACCTCCTCTTGACACTCCAGCACGGAGGCTGCGGGCCTCCCTCCCAGCCCCCTTCCCAGCACACAAGGGGTCACTGAGGCCTTGGAGTGCCTGGCCTTCTCCCCATTCTCGCCTCACACTGGATGCTGCCTCACTGTCTGAGATTCCTATTAGACATCCCTTCTTCCAGGAAGGCCTTCTCTGACCCCAGCTCAGTCAGGTGCCTCCTCTATACACACAGCCCCTGTGCATCTGCCTCATGCAGCAATCACACTGTCCTGTTTCCCCAGACAGCCCACGATCCACTCAAGGGTAGGTTTCGTGTGAATGAATGAATGAACATGAATGGCTGACATTTATTGAGTGATCGTGCAGTACAGGCATGGTGCTAAGTGTTTGACGGGTGTTTCATTTAGTCCCCAGAACAGCCCTAAACCAACAGGCCCGGGTGAAGGGCATCTCCCAAGGTAGGGCACAGCACGCTTTCTTCCTGACAACCCTTGCCCAGAACCCTGCCTCCTGTGGCTTTTTATAACACCCCCCTTTCCCCCTCGTCCTGCTTGAGTCAACGCTCTCAGCTTTGGAAAGCCCTCTGATCATGTTTCCTGCTTCCCACCCCTGGAGAAAGCAGAGCAGGAATGTTTCCAATGTTCCTCTGGAAAACCAGAGAGGTGGAGTGTTTTACCCGAAGGCCCACAAGGAGAAGGTGACCAGTAGGACCTGGCTCTCCTGGTTTCCAACCCTCCCAAAATGCCAGGGTGGAAATGGTCCTAGACATTTCTCCCCCTACTGTAAGGGGGCAGGGAGCAGGAAAGATACCGAGACACCAGCCCCCTGTGAGGAGGAGAAACTTGACTGTTGCTGTGAGGTTAGCATCCTGGGAACTGCAAGGCCTGTGGCTGGTGGGGAAAACGTTATCAATCATCCAGAGGATGCCCTGGCTCAGAGTCGCCTCACAAAAGGATGTGTCCTTGGCTTCTGAGCTAGGTCAGACATGAGAAAGCTGTGTGTGTGTATGCACATGCACATATGCACAGGTGTGTGCATAGATGTGTGCATGTAGAGAGGACAATTTGAAAGCGAATCCCAGGAAAAGGTACTGCTTCTTCCTAGGGATGGCCAAAATGCTGCTGGAATCACAGGTATTTTGGCTGAGCTGTGGCTGATATAAGTGAGCAGATGCAATTGTGGATACTGGATATGGGGCTGCAAAGGTCCAGGCCCACACACACACGGTCCTTGAGTGGAGAATGATCAGGCCAGCATATCTCACAGACTCCTAAACACCCAGCAAATGTCTCCTAGGCCTAGCTGGAGCCTGGCTAGGTCCCAACAAGGCTGGGGGAGCGGGGTCTTCATCAGGGACAGCCCCTGAGCTCTTCCATGTAAAGCCATCCTAGCACCTAGGGAGAGGGAGGTAGATGGGTTCCCAAGCACCAGTTGCAGGGCCCATGACACGGGACACCCCTTCAGTGCTCCCAGGCATGCACTCTGAGCAATTGTTTCTTGTCTTGAGAGGACTTCAGGAGGCCAGGAAGGGACCATGAGACTCCAGGACCCTGCACAGAGCCTTACTCCGCTGGTGGGCATAGGAACCTTTTGTTACATGTATTCATTCATTCATTCAATGAACACCTACTATCTGTCAAACATGTTTCAAGCACTGGGAGTACAGCAGAACCAGCTGGACCACCACACCAGCCCCAGAGGAGCTCACAATCCAGTGGGCAGGATAGAAGATAAGCACAAGACACAGCCTTCGGGAGCTGACCAGTGCTCTGGAGAACATGAAACAGGAGAAGAGGGAATGGAGGGTCTTAAATAGGTGGTCAGCAAAGACTTCATGAGAAGGTGATGTTTGCTCCTACAGAGGTAAGGGAGTGGACCTTGCAGATATGGAGGAGAAGTGTCTTCCAGGCAGAGGGAACGGTGAGTGCAAAGACCCTGGGATGGGCGTGTGCCCAGCCATGCTAAAGAATTGCAAGGAGAAAAGTGGGGTGGGATGGGGGGGTGAGGGGGCAAGGGGGGAAGACAAGGCCAGAGGTACGGGGCCCAGTGGCTCAGGGCCTTGTAGGCCACTGTGAAGGATGGACCCAGATTTAGGGACCTGAAGCTTATGCAACTTAGGGGGCCAGCCTTAAGATAGATTAATCAAAATTACAACATTCAGTTCAGGGTCTCGGAAGAGGCCTTGAAAGGTGAGAGGCCTGGACACTTATGCTTTCCTAGTCTTGTTATAAACCCACCTCTGGCTGGCGTTTGTCTGGAGTAAGCACAAGTCATAGGAGAGTTGGAGCGGAGCAGTGACCTGACCTGACCGCCCTCCTAACTGGCTGTTGAGTGAAGGATGAACCAGGGGCCAGGGCGGCGGTGGCAAGAGAGTGAGCCAGAACACCAGTGAGCAGCCTGGACCGGGCCATGACAGCGAGGGTGGACTGACTCTGGAGCAGGGCTGACAGGATCTGCTGAGGGGATGCATGTGAGCTGTGAGAGGAGAAAAGCCGAGGGTCAGCCCCGAGGTCTGGGGCCTAGTCAAGCTATGCCCAGTCAAGGTGAAGGAGGAGAGCATTACTGTTCCCAGAATGTGTATCCTGGAGTCCTCAACTCTACCTCTGCCACCCCTGAAGCAAAGCATTCATCAACCCCACTTCACGGGTAAAGAAACCCAGACTCGGAGAGGTGGGGTGGCTTGCCCAAGGTCACACAGCCAGGAAACGGCAGAACCTGGATTCCAACCTAAGTCTCACCAACTCCAAAATCAATGTCCATTATGACACAGCAGGCAAAGCAAGGTGTGGGGACCCTCGCAGTGTGTCAGGAGGGTGAAGCAGTTCCGAGAGGTCAGGCATGTTCCAGCAACCACAGGGCCCTTAGGAGGACTCCACAGTTACCCCCAAGACTCCTGCCGGTAAAGCTCTCAGCTCCCATTGCAGGCTCCTCCTTGACTCCTCCTTAAGCCTGTTTCTGATCCACCAGCTGGGAAATCTCAGCTGCAATCTTGGGAAAATGTTTTTGGCATCTCTCAAGTTTTCTTAATTCACTGACAAGGTAATAACTGCCTCGATCCATTATACGCATTTTCTAAAGGAGTTTCTACATTAGAATGCAAAGCAAGCTTCTCTGGCTTAAAAACCTGAGATTCCTAGGATTTAATCTTTGAACAGATTTAGTCCCTAAATACAATACACTGCCTTTAAACTGATACAAATTGATGGTCCCATATGCACTCACTCAACAGGTTGAGTATCCAGATATGTCTCCCATGTCACAGGAACCCATATGATTAGGACTGATGTTTATTATTGTCACTGTGGATTTGAAAAGTCCCAACCCACATTTGGGATGTACAATTTTACCACAGCTTACCTAGAACAACTCACGCGAGCCTGGGAGAAACGGACACATCTACAGCAGCTCAGGACTTGCAACTCTTTCACTACCGCGGGGCTTTGTTCTTTTCAAACCACACCCCTGCGACACCACAGCAGAGCCTGGGAGGCCATCGACACCCTTCACCCCCTCCAACCCTCCCCCTGCCCCTCTGCCTCTGGAAAACCTGCCAGCAGGAGCAGATATTTGATCTGTCATAGAAGCTGGGATATTGCACTGCCCAGATGTTCAACTCACTGAATGGAGGGCTCTTGTTACAGCTAATCAGGGCCTGTCTACCCTACAGACCCTTGCCCATCCCATCTTTCTACCCCCAAGAGACAGAATCCATGGCCCACATAGCCGACTGAGATGGGTAAGTGGGACCTGCATTTGGCAGGGGGCTCACTAAAATGACCCCTTGAGGATCTTCATGACAGCAACCTGGAAGGCATGTGCCCTTGAAGCCCTCCAGGACCATTGGGACTGGAGGACACCCCCCATGGTCCTCAGACACCTGCATCCCCTCCCACAAGGGCCTTCTCCCTTTCCTTGTCAGGAGTTCTAGAAGAGTCTGGAGGAGCCTGGAAACATTCCACAGATGGTACTCAATGTAGCCACACGTCCAGGCCACTGAATGTGCCCAATTTCTCCCCATGTAAACCAGGGCTGCACTTTACTACTAAGTGGGGGAGAGTGAGCTTACAACTTCAGCATTAAAAAATCTTTTTCTGCTAGCAAAATAAGGTCAGGAGCAGGAGACATACTATCGGGGAGGAGAAGCTGAGGAAGGCCTGCGTCATGCCCATAGAAATACAACAAAGCCCTCATCTTTTCTTGTATAAAAGATCCTTCTTGCCCACAGAACTGGGGAAAATTGGGCACTTGGCTTTGTAAAATGTGTCACTGCAGAAAATTAGTCACTGCAGGAAATTAGACCCCCAAGACCAAAAGGCTGTAGCACTTTGGATTTAACCCAGTCTGAACAGAGAGCTCTTTAGCAGGGCCATGAGTGCTGCTGACTGGCTGCCTGGTGGTCACCAAGGTCAGTCCAGAAAATGGCAGGAAGAACAGGTAGTGCCTGGTGGACACCTTCCTCCCCTGAGGGGTGGCCAGAGGCAGAGACTGGGCTCCCACTCCCAGGGCAGAAATGGAGGGGCCAGAATCACCAAGCATCCCCGCCTAACTTCACAGACAGGGCAGCTAAAGCCTGGGGTCAGGAGGATCACAGTTCACAGATGAGTCAGTGAGGGTCCAGGGGTCACCCCAGTGTTGGCTTCCCCCCCATTATGAAGCCACCGCCCACCTGAGATGGTCAGTGATGACAGGCCCCTCCAAGGTCATCCAATACCCTCGCTCAGCTGATGAGGATGGCACAGGTCCTGGAATTCAACAAGCTGGAGGGACGGGACGGGACGGGCAACCTTGCAAAGAGCTCCCAATCCTTGGAAATGCCAAGAAACCTCATCCTCCAAGAGCAGCAGTTTCCAAACTTTTGTATTTTTAGCAGCAGAAGCCATCCTCCAAACCAAACCTTATGCAAACCCTCAGCTCCAAAACAGATCCGTGGGCGGCTCGCCCGTGGGGCCTTGCTGGCCCGAGCGCTCCTTCCAGCACCCACTCTCCTTCCTCAGGGCCCCACGTGGAGCTCAGGCTGAAGCCCCAGGCCTGGGGACCTCGAAGCACTGGAGCGCAAGCAGCCCGACAAGGTGGGCTCTTACTTAAGACCCCTGGAAAGCATGACTCGTCTCTGAGACCTGGACAGCTTCGCTCTCCACCAGGGCCTGGCCCCCGTCCCCACTCAGCCGTCTCATGCGCAGGTTAATGGAGCCATAGGTCTTCCTGGGGCCCCTGCCAGGGACGAAGGTCCGGCGGCGGTACAGCTCACCCTTGCACAGGGACACCATGAGCAGCACCGACAGGAGCATGCCTCCCACCGTGAGCAGCCCCAGGCCGGCGATGATGCACCTGTCCAGGTGGGAGCCCAGGCGGGCGTAGTACATCTCCAGTCGCTCCATCTCCCGTGCCGTCACTGAGTCGGGGTTGACCCGGGCCTCTCGGGGGATGGCGTACGCTGTCACCACCAGGAGGATCCCACTCACCAGGAACACCAGGGCGGAGACGAAGCCATAATCCACCGGGCGGCTCACAGGCTCCAGGCCTGGCCCCTCCTCTGAATGCAGCGACAGATCGTCCCGCTGGGATCGGGGAAGTGAGGGGATACCCGCCGGGGGGCTGGGAGAGATGCCCAGTCGCGTGTTCCTGGGGTTCTGGAAGTGGGTCTCATGCTCCTCTGAGGAGAAGCAGGCGTTCTCCACACCCTCCCTGGGTGGGGCCCCTGGGCCCAGGGAAGCTAGTCTCCTGGGGGCCTGGGGACCATCGCTCAGTGCCTTCAGCTCCAGACCAGGGGGAGATGCCATTGGGAAGGAGGGCCCCAGTTCATCCCTTGGGCCCTTGATAGCTAGAAGAGAAAAGAGAAAGTCAGTTGAGTTTAGCATATCTCTACCAGGTGCCTGCTGTGAAGGATGTCACCCTGGTTCCTGACCATGGAAAGTGCCCACCTGGAGGGCGATGCAGGGGAGGGAGGGATGAGGAACAAGATGATGACAGAGTGATAGATATTGTGTATTATGATGGAGTACATATCAGGTTTAAATCCCAGCTTCAGGAGAGCTCGGGCAAGACTCAGTCTTCTCATCTGTGAAATGAGAATACACAAAATGCCTTTCTCATCAGGTTGCCATGAGGGTTTCGCAGAAGAATGCGTGTGAGACCCTGGCCCATCCAGTCACCGGACACCAATGTATGAGCTGAGGATGATGGCAGGGGTGGATGGAGATGATGAAGCTGCTGTGAGAACAGAGAGGAGAGAGTCAGGGAAGTTTCTGGGAATTGGCAGCACTGGAGCCAGACCTCAGAGGAGGAGCTGGAAATTCCCCAGCCATGAGAGGGGATGAGAGCATTCTGGGAAGGGGGACAGGATGCCTCGGAGGTCAGCTGGGGCTGGCTTACCAAGGACTCTGAGAGCCAGGCCAGGGAGCCAGCGAGCGATGGGGCACTGAGGTGTTGGAGCGGGAAGTGCCAGGACCTGCCTGGCTCTCAGAGGATAGGAGGACTGACCAGATGAGAAAGAGCAGAGTGGAGAACAGGGTCCAGCAAGGAGCCCAGTGGGTCAGCCTGGATGAGAGGCCAGGAGGAAGCAAGGAGAGAGCCCTGACCGAAGTCAAAGCCAATGCTTTGAGCCAAGTCAAAGCAGGAGTGGGCCGGGAGGAGCTGAACAGGGTCCACAGGAGAGGAGATGAGAGGGAGGAAGGGGTGCACTCTGTGCTGCCAAGAGAAGACACCCCCCCAAGCCCTGAACACCCGCCACCCCAGGTAGCACATAGACGTCCCACCAACTTATGATTCAGGGGACATCCTGAATTTTGCTTTATTTTATTCCTGGTCTGTTCGTTTGGTTTTGGTGAATTAGTTGCCAATATATAAAAAGCAAAAGAAGGTCGGGTGCAGTGGCGCCTGTCTGTAATCTCAGCACTTTGGAGACCCAGGTGGGATAATTGTCTAAGCCCAGGTTTTTGAGACTAGCCACACAGTGGCTACACAGTGAGACTCTGTCTCTACAAAAAAAAAAATTTGTTTTAAAAAATTAGCCAGGTGTGATGGCACACACCTGTTTGTAGACCTAGCAACTTGTGAGGTTGAGGCAGGAGGATCGCTTGAACCCAGGAATTCAAGGCTACAGTGTGCTATGATCACACCACTGCACTCCAGACTGGGTGACAGAGTGAAACCCTGTCTCAAAAAAAAAAAAAAAAAAAAAGCAGATGATCTTACATTTTAAACTGTGGACTCTTGGTTTCTCTTGCAAAATGGAGAATCTGGCCACCTAGGGCCTCATCGCCTTGCAACACTCAGCTGGAGTTGGTGATCGGGGTTGCCGTGTTTCCCCTACAGGTGCTGCCTCAGCCCCCGTCCCTGCCTGGCATGGATCATTCCTGATCCCACAGCAGCACCACACCATTCCATGTATACGCTGATGTCTTGCAGGCACGTACACCCAGGGTCCAGGCACACAAGTTCTAGGGGGTACAGAGACCCCCAGGGGCAGGGCAGAGAGGCTCACATGCTCTGGTGTGTCTACACACACACACACACACACACACACACACACACACACACACTCTTACTCACTTACTGCATTCTCATGCCAGGTTTATTCTCCAGCAGTCCTGTGTATGTGTGTTTAACTATGAGCAAATGAATGAAGTGAGAAGGAATGAAATGAATGAAACTCAAAGTGCCTCAGTGCAAGAAGGTGCATTTCCAGTCTTTCTCACCTTCCTTCCAATATGTACTTGCATCAGACACCTCCTCGGAGCACACACAGGGCCTTTCATGCAAATACAAGGCCCGTTTTCACTTATAACCCGTTCCTATCACTGTCTCTCCCTTTCCAGAGTCCCAATGTAGCAAATGTTTACTAAGCACCCGCTACCTGTAGGACCTAGTACTTGGCACTTCACTCGGGAGTACCTCATGTAACCCTCATCCACCCCACAGCCGGGAATTACTATCTCCATTTTACAGAACATGGCCAAGATCCCATTGCATGTATGAGGGTGGGGGCAGGAGCTGGATGCTGGTTTCCTAAGAATCATGGCCACCCATGAACCTGCAAGCCCACACGCGCCTGTGCTGGTGGCCTCACTCTCCCTCCTGCCCTGGCTCTTCCAGTTCTCACTCGTAGACCCCCCACTTTATCCAACTGTTTGACAGCAGCCCTGAACATCTCCAGGGCAGGGATATGCCTGAATTCCATCTGGTCCCCAGCCCTGGCCGACTCCTCTCACTTGCCCGTGAATAGACAGAAAGGAGAAGTGAGAGATGTGTTGGTTGACATTTTACCCTTAGTACCAAAAGCATTTTTTTGAGTGCCTGGCCACAAACAGGGCCCGGCAGTGGATGCCACATGGGTGCTCAGATTTGCCCACCCCCAGCACCTTCCACAGACCCCAGTGCCTGAGGTGGGGAGGGGACAGGGATCCCTTTCCCAGACTGACACATTGATGCCACCATATCCCACAGAAAACTGGCACTCAGAATGTGGGAGCGGGGCTTGCCTTTGGCCTGCAGAAACCCAAAACTTTTTCCTTGGAATGTGTAGTGAGGGGACAGAAACAAAAGAGGCTCCCTCTCCCCCAGAGTTAGGATGACTCTCGGTTTCTTTCCCGCACAGGCCCAGAGATACCCACTAGTTTTCACAAGGGCATGCCCCAGTCAGTTACCCAAACACAAGCCGAAACAGACAGACACATGTGCTCCTGCACGCCCCTCACACCCACAACCCCACCAGTTACCCTTCCATTTCACCTGCAGTCGGACAGGTCCCGGCAGGAACTCCAGTTCCACACTCGCTTCCCCCAGGAGTCGTTCCCACAGGCAGTACCCACAGACACCCGGAAGCCACGCGGTGTGACCCACAGATCCGCGGGCCACTGGTCCCCCCCATGCCCGAGAGCGTTAGGACTTGTTACACACACACACACACACACACACACACACACAGCCCCCAGGACTGCTCGGATGTGCCAAGCCCCTCCGGGCTCAACACCCCACCCTCTGCGCGCACAGACACCCACAGACACACGCACGAGTTGTACACAAAGCCCGGCGCGCGGATCCGCACACGCAGTCCACGCCGCCGTGCCCAAAGTTCCGCGCAGCCAGCCCCAGCACGCCGCTGCCCGCCGC